CTAGCGGTTTGTACTTTGTTGTAGCAGGCTCAGAAAAATAGATACAAGATACAATAAAAACAAAATAGTATAAATTAATCCCTGCTACGCGCGTGGTGAACCCTTTACCCGGTGAACCCTTGCTTCTCAAAACTCATTCTCGCTTGTCGCTTGACCATCGCACGAGAGTTTGGAAAACTCTTGATTCCTAAGTCTTATCAACTCTCACTCTTTTGACCCGGACTTCAGTTACAAGATGCGTGCTTTTGATTGTCCGATATTGTTCTATATTTCTGCAGAGGCAATTAGCAGAGGCAAATGAAAGGAATGTGTGTAGTCTCGTGCCATAGTATACCAAATTCAAACCTTTAGATTGTTTTATCAGATTATAGACGATAAACTACAGTATTTTAGATAAACAGGAATCTGGATAATATACTATCGCCTTAGTTAACTTAACCTGTTGACTATTGACCTTATGCATAATGACGTCAAGCCGTGACGTCTGCCGAGAATACTGGTTTTATTAGTTACGACTTCTACAACCAGAACTGATTCCTTGCCTGCGTCAAAACTTGTTACTATGCATAAGGTATATTGCACCTGAAACAACAATTAACATTTCCTTGTCGATCGCATTTTCTCGATGATCCACAATGAGAAGTATATTAATTTTTACAACAATTTTGCAAGCATGAATCACAAATGATTGAAATTAAACGTGGCGAAGTAACTTCTAAGTAATTCAAATTCTAACATAAAGAAAGAAAATAACTTTCTATGAATTATTTCCTCTAAAATCTCTTTTCAACGATTTCTAACAGCATTTCATTCCGTATACTCGATCTGTTTTTTTTCTTTTATAGGTCATCATGCAGATAACTATCCGGATTGCGGGCGTACTATTGTGTCTGATCATCGAAACGCGTGGCCATGCAAATTGTATGCTTAATCGTTTTGTCAATTGCATGTGTTTAGACTCGATGTCTGTCTGTCATATGGCAGACTGATCGGGGCTAGTGGTAGATCCTGACTGATGCGATTGATTTCACAAGCACAAAAAATGAAATACAAAACTTAAGCTTTCCGATAAACTGAGACCTAGACGCTTACCTCCTAAATTCCTTATTAAAGGTACTGATGTATAGTATAGTCGCGGTCGGGTTAACGTTGACTAATCTATGGAAAGGTATAAAGCAAACTGACAGGATGAATAGTCTAGACCAAATACACCGGAATATGGTATCGTTATAAATTATTTGACATGGGGAAGGTCGAATATACCCAATTTGGTAAAGTGAAATAAATAGAGATCACTTCATGGTTGGCGAGTGCGTACGATTTTTATTCCACAGCGAATGCATAATATAAATCGTACAAACAAGTCAACCATGAAGTAATTTGTTTTTTACCCCTTTTTCCGCTTCCGCGTTTTACACTTACCTGTTTATTAAATGTGTATAGAGTCGATCAATTTGACAGCGACACAATTTTAATATACAAAAACACAGCGAGCAACAAAAATCAAAATTTACCCATCAAAACATATTTATTACCGTTCAATTTCTTTGCGATTTTGTTCAAAAGAAGTTAGATATTCTTTCTGAAAGATTTGATGATGTGCTGAATGTTAAAATATCTTGAATATGAGATTTATGTTTTGAATCTTCTATATTTCGACGCCATCTTGAAAGAAAATGTAAACAAATTAATTGCCGCCAAAATTGCATACGACAATCTTTCACTGTGAAGAATATCGTACGTCCAATCAAAAGCCGTGTATGGCATTTTTTCCACCCATGAAAAACATTGTACGTCCAATGAAATTGCATAAAATTAATTTACACGGTCAAATACGATTTTTATTTCATCATTTTGCTGTGCATAAACGTCTATATACACATATAATAAACCGGAATACTGTATATTCCACCTTGGTGGGTTTGAGTATACATGTATATATGGTATATCTTCGATCTTGCATGGTTAGGATATGCCCCTGAGACTGATCATCCTACTTCGAAATAGCGTGTTAGTTGTTAGTACCAAATTTTGCGTGGTTTTGGTTCAGAATAATGGGAATTGCACTGAGTGAAGGGCAATTTGACAGAATGAATTAATGCTATAATTTATTAATACGCAAAAATCTCTTATAACACAAAAGAACATATACTTGTAGTTGCTGATAATGTTAGTTGGCCAACGGGTGCATATGGTCTTCCTAAGCCTATAACGGAGTGTCCAAATTGTGAGTCGGAAGTATGGCAGCAAGGCTGGATATATCAAGATTTGGAAGACAATCCTACCTATTCGAATTCCACTTCAAGAAAGTCCAACGGATCACATATGGAATTTGCTTTCTTTGACTATGGAAATAATATTCTCAGGTTTTTCTGCATGAAAAATAGCACTACCGCTCATTCAAGGCCATGGCCTAAAGGTAGGATGATTTTTATTATACAGCATATGCACTTTCTTGACATATTTTCATATCTTAACCCAAAGACTCGTATGTGTAGGTTGTGACATAATAGGTGTATAAGGTGATATCAGTTTAACCCCCAGGGGACAATTTCACATTCACTCGATTACAGAATGCACCTATGTTATATAAAAAATTATGATTTTTGGCACTTCACTCGATGCAGGTAAATTCTAGAGGTTTAGGGATCTTAATTTCGAGTGGAATTATACACACTTCAAATTCAAGCCAGGAACAGTTGATGGAAAAATTAGTCAACTATAGGTCCTCACGCAGGAATCACTTTTGCGATGTCGGTGCAATTCTCAGTGACAATAACATTGCAGCGGATTCGCAAAAGCGTAGGTTCGATTTCTGCCGGAGGACCTATAGTTGACTAATTTTTCCATCAACTCTACCTGGCTTGAATTTGAAGTGTGTATAATTCCAGTCGAAATTTTATGACCCTTAAACCTCTACATTATATAAACGGATATATAGGTCTAACAACACATGTATCTCCTTTCAGTTTATTGGTTATGATTTACAACACTCCCTGGTCTCACACTCATAGAGTGGAAGATCTCATTCTTCTTAACTTTTCCATGGCAGTATTTTCAGTCAAACAATAGCTTGATTTTCAATGCCACCTTAAATCGACAAAGTGATAGCAAAATTTCTATATATTTTACATAAATTTCTATGTCAAAAAATTTCTATGTCACGATAGAGCTAAACTATCGCCTGTATCCATGCACCGAAAAATTTTTTACACGAGAGCTAATTTTAATTTTTTTTAGTGGGACTCCTTCACGGTATGAGTGTGTGGTACATGTTATTACTGATCAATGAGAAAGTTCTTTCTTAACCAATGAAAAAATTTAAGATAAAGTCAAGCTCTTAATCGAGTAGAAATCCCGTGAAGGAGTTCCCACTAAACTGAAATTAGCTCTCGTGTAAAAAATTTGCCACTGAAAATGCTTTTTTCACAGGTGAATATTGCGTTTACAAGAGTAACAACCAATCTTGTCCCCCGGGCATGACGCCAGGATGGGTGTTCTGGGATGATGAAAATGAAAGTCCCCAAACTAAAGTTGGAAGAGTTTCGCCCGATGGCTCATATGTCAATAATACCAGGATTTTTTACTGTTGTCAGAATGATGGAAATTACTATGATTCGATTGAACTACCAGTCGAAGAACCGTTTTATTTATTAACAACCAACTCCACCGAGCTTCCTAAATGTCAGATGGTCAAGTGGGCGTTTAGTTACTTGGAGTATCTTGTTTTTGATACAGAGAATGACAATAATAGCGATAGTCAGGGTGGCGACCACGTGTTCATTGAAAATAATACCGTGTACTATTGTTACTACAAAGGTAACTCTGTTGTTCTTTCTTTTGATTCTTATAACTACCACGCCCAGTGGAATAATCGAAACTAGTAAATAACTGAAATTTCGTACATGTATCGTGGTCATGATAGTTCGTCTTTATTACAGATTGCCGTCATCGAATGACCGCTTCCTGTGATTCGTTTAGCTCACACAAAGCACCAGAAAGTGAAATGGAGCGACACTCGCAATATTGCTCCTGGTTAATTACGGTTGCTGATATATACGTAATTTCTTTGGAATTCAAAAGTTTGGTTGTACTTAGCTGTGATGATACATTTCTAAGAATATACGATGGTGCGAACGAGTCAGCTCCGTTGTATGGCACATACTGCGGGTCAAATGCAAGCAAAGAAGTCAAGGTTTTATCACATACAAATAGTTTGTATATCGTATCAAATTCTGGAAACCCTGAAAGAGATGCTAAGAACATCGCTACAGTAACTTTTAAAGCCAGCTACTCTTCCGAAAACCGGACAGGTTAGTAAACTGGAAAGGATTTCAAGCAATAAGGTTCAATATTTTACCAATTAAAAATGAATTGATTTTCTTTAGAAAAATCTACCAAAGATAAAAGCTCACAAACTTTTACTAATCTTGAAGGCAAGTGAGATTTTTTTCTTCACAAACGTATTTAAATGTTCTCGTAGAATGCTTTGGAACCCACCAATTCTAAAATCCATTCTAAATATTATTCTATCCAAAAAATTTATGAGCTGCAATAATTTATTTCGACTCCAAATGGCTGAATACAAACTTTTGATTTAAAATGAGAAATTATTGTGAGGTCAAATAAATAAAGGACAGAGAAAACTTCGTAGAAGAGTTATAAATCATTTGAAAAATTGAGCGATCACAACATCTAGAAAAGGTAGCTTTTTATTATAGTGCTAAATATCTAAAGCTATTTCATGTTCCATCTAACCAATGTTCAAAATGGTCCAAAAGAAAGAATTTGTGCTAGCCATTCTATGATTATACAAGAGTAAAGGTTTATAATGGCATTTTTTCTATATTCTTTTTAACGCAACGACAAACAGTGCTAGCCTTTGCACTTGGTGGATGTTTATTACTGAGCATTTTACTAAACGTCGTTTTTTTATGCGTAAAATACAATCATCGGAAGAAGACACCAGAACCACCACCTCAAAAATCACCGAATCCTGTCAATATTCCAATGGAAGAAGTTGAGCTGCCACCAGAGCAATCGCCTCTATACCAGGTAATTCTTACTATAGTTTCGCCATTCATAGGTCTAGAAATCTACCTAAAGCTGCTCCGGTGACTTCTTCCAATGAAAATAGAATTTAAGGATTAAAGATTAAAGATTTTGCACTCAAGCCTGCAGAAAGCATGCTCATATCATTGCCTTTATGTACCTTCGGGTTATATTTAGTTTTTTTGCTCAAATTAGTTTGTCGGTGAGCACTATATAACCGATATGATATATACTTGAAATGCGAGTATACACTTTGAACGTGAATGCAGGCCATATGCAACCTTGTTTTCAGGGACAGAATATGGTGAAAAGTGAATAATCGACAAGGTATTAGTATACTACGACAGGAAGTTTATATAATTATGTTGGGAAGTTCAAAACGAAATTCCGAGTGATATATTTATAACACCTTCCACGTTTTCTCTGTCATTTCCCCCAAGTAGCTTTCTAATTCGCCATGAAAATGAATTACTTTTCTGTTTTTTTCCAATTTCTAGGAACCGCGTTATCCGGATTTTGAAGTTTTCTCGGAAATAGAAGAAGAAGAATACGTCATACCCCCTACGTCACAAAAAGAAACTGTAGAGGTCCACGGTGAGCCTAAGACACCTTCACAAAATCCTGGGGATGCTGATTTCCATGAGAATAAACTAGGGGATCCTCAAAGTAACAGCAAAGGTAATGTCAGGACGTGCGTTTCTTTTGAAATAATACGGATCTATCCCAAAACACATGAAAACTATTGTAGACGTCAAAGTCCACTACCAGGGACTGCTTTCTATCTTTAGATATGGATGAAGATCAGTATCCGGAATACGAAAATATGGAAAACAATTCTTTACCAGCGATTGCAATGACTCCACTAAATTCCACTAAAGACCATCCACATGAATGATGTAATTTCTCGTTAACACGTCTCAAGACGAACGTGGATGGCATTCAGGTTTAATGAAACGTTCGTGTTAGAGTGAGCCTTCGTGTAGAAATCATGCAGAGTTTAGTTCAGAGTTTAGTTAAAAGTGGTTTAGTGTCGGATTTTATTGTTTTAACTATCTACAACTAACATTCTACATACTGATGCTAGCCATATTGAAAACCTCTCTTCAGTGCCAGCTACAACAGTTTTGACAGTCTCAAACATGCAAGTCCGTTAACGAACTCCCTTCATGCTTGAGTATAACTGTTTAGTGTTTGTCTGGGGTTCGTTGTACATTACACCGTTGCCACTACCTCAGACGTGTTTGAATCTTCTTTACCAGGCTTAAGCAGATGTACTGCGAGGTGCTCGTCGTTTTAATTTTCCTTAATTATACTTATGTAATTTTTTGGGTATATGGGTATTAGAATAGAAAGTACAGCTCTTTAAAATCAGATGTTCTGGTTGGCAAATGTTTTTTGAATAAAGATTAAGGTGATTTTATTTTGAACAGCGAAAGAAACCTAGATATGTTTAATTGATTAAGATTGATTTCTTCATGCAACTCCTTTCAAAATGGATGAATATTGGTCTGGTTTATTTTTATTTGGTTTATATTTGTTCGCGCTGATACGAGCCATGCATGTGCTTTCCTATGTTTTCTTTCACATCAACTCCCCTGGCGAAAGTCCTTGCGTCGAAACTTCGAGCATCGCTTTTGTCTATGGCAGTTGTTATACCACATTGGAAAGATATTAAAAGACGCTGCCGCTCTGCTTCCTGATTATATTGAAACACTAATCAATATCTGTGATTTAATTATCCGAAGCAAATGTGATTGATTCGGAAAAATATTTTATTCAAATCAGGGTCGAAAATATGCGAGGGCTTTCTCAAGCAGAGCTAGGATGTAAAACTGTAGATGTAATCGTTGATAACTTTCACCACATTTTTAAATTTATTTTGCAATCTCGCCTGTGTGCGTAGTCCTCGCGAGAGGTCGCGTGAGATGTAATTAAAATCGCAGCGTGATATTTTTGATATCACACCCCCACCTTTGAAATCAAATACAGGATTACAACAATGTGAAAAATCAACCAGTCATGTGGTACGAATACTGTTTTCCGATTGGACAAATTTAATTTGAGAAATATTTTGAGGGTATATACATGATTGATGCATATTCCTCCATCGTATTGTTAAACCAGACGCATTGTATTCGTTGTGATTTGGTGTTATATCTGTGTAGCATGAGGGTAAGTGCTTTGAATATGTGATATTTCCAATAATTTACCGTTAATTTACTGACCAATAGTTTCCCGGTAGTTGAATACTCCGGCAGAAAGGCAAAACCCAGGTCATAATCACTTATACCACTGGCATTTTCCACTTCCTTCGTGATATTATATGGGATGTAATTACGAATGTTGGTGGTGTGTAAAGAGAACGAATTCATAAACATCTACAATAATGTCAATTATGTTCATAATATTGAGATACCAATAACATTTAATTTGTGTAACGGATAAAATAAGTTCCTGTGTAAACCAAATCGGTGATTAGCTTAAACTTGTTAGATTGTTTTTTTGACATGTCGGTTGATATAGATGGACTATATGCCTTGCCTGAAGTGTGTCCGGTTTAACTGACGAGAATTATTCTCCAGATTTTCGAGATGTTAACTCTATGTAGATGTAAAAGTGTTAACTCTAGCCTTTTCTCTAAACTGTCATGCTCCGTGCATGAATCAGGCATGCGCACATATTTGCCGAGAGACACAAATTGGCAAAGCTATATGACAAAACAAAGACCGGATTTGGTCGCGCTACAATATTCTGTTCGGACAAAATGAATGATTTCTTTGTTCAAATATATTTGTTTTCAATTCTGTCTCGAATATATTACTCGAGATTTTTCGTTTTTCAGAGAATAGTGATCATTGACTGTCATATTTACGAGGTGTTTACATTGATCTATTAACCAAGATTTTACAAAGGGAGAAATGATTTCAGAGTACCTATCAGAACGACAACTCCATTGTTTTTTTTGCGTTAGCGGATTCGTCACTCAGCAAGTACCGTAAATAGAGGCGATCACCCCCCCCCCAACTTCCCAATTTTCAATAAGGGCAGGGGGGGGGTGATTCCTGCCATTAAGGTACTTGCTTAGTCACTTACGCGGAAAACAATTAAGAAATAAATGTCATATTTACATCATTTCGAAACCAAAATCTTTAAAACTGTGGTGCTGGATTTTGTTTATTTTCTGTAGATCCAAATGTAATCAGCAGTTGGGATCATCCAATACCCTGACGACTACGTGTCAGTGAGTTTTATTTCTCCACTTTATCATTAGGTTATGAAGAAGAAGATATTCTGCATCAGCTGCGTGATATTTTTGGCTTGTTTACTTGATTTGGCTATTTCTTTTGTCGAAGCCCAAGGTATGCTACTCAATACAAAACAATCTTATAGCATGAGGTGGTATGGAAAATCTGATTTGTGATTCAAAAGATATTCCAAATAATGATGATAATACACATTTACCACAAGTCCTTGTCAGTCTTTAAAACTGATTTTCTTTTCGAGCTAAAGAAACTTTAAACCTTTTTTGAAACCGTGGGAAATATATTTCCCTATACGGACCTCCAATCTGGTAAAAAACTTATGTTTAATATATCCGCCGATTATATTGCAGATGATGATTGGCCAAGTGGGGAATACGGTTTTCCTAAGCCAAAGTCAGGTTGTCCAGAAAGTGAGACAAGTGAATGGCGTGAAGGATGGAGGTTTCAAGATATGGAAGACGATAGAAAATATGGATCATCATTGGGCTCATCGAATTTGGACATTCAAGTTATAGGAAGGAAAAAAGATATATTGAGGAGTTTCTGCATGAAACAAAATGACGGAATGCAAACAAGATCCTGGCCTCAAGGTAAAATATTCTATTTTTGACAAGCGGAAAGTATGAAAGATCTGATGACTGATGTTGCAGAATTTGTTACAATACAGGCCTCTTAGTCAGTCCCTAACTGAACTGTCCGGAATCCATGTTATTATATGTGCAGCAGAGAAAATAATATACACAGTGGGCAGTTACAATATTTGTTAGAAATCTTTGCATGATACTTTCATTTAAAAATAGGCATTATTTTTTTACAAATCTGCAGCGGGCGGAATCCTAGCCTTTCCTGCCATCTGATTGGCTGTAGCAGCGGGCGGAGTTTTACGACATCTCGCTACGGTTCGCAATCCTGTATTTTATGCTCGGGCGAAAGCGTATTTGCTTTGTTTTTCTAAAGTTTTATTCGCAAACTTTTGACTTTTTTATTTTAAAATAATTTATGGACCAAATCATTATCACGATAAATTGAAGTGAATTTATATAATAGTAAATTAATCGAACGAGGTTTGTTTGATTGTTTATTTTTTTGTCACCATTGCGGAGTCTGACTACACAATTATAATACGATCAAGCGCCGCCATTTTTTAAAAAAATAAATACGTTATTTACCGTTTTGGTCGTTCCGGATAGAAAAATATTTCCCCTCGGTTTTAAAACGTCTCTCGGCCTGCGGCCCCAGTGGCGGATCTAGGGTAGTGCAGAATAAATTACTACAGCTTAAAATCGCAATCGCATTGGTAGGTTTTAATGTAAAAATATTCTTTTCAAATCTATAGCCAATAGCGTTATTATTAAGGTGTTTTGAATTTAAAATGAAGCTGTGTAATTTATTCTGCACACCCCTAGATCCGCCACTGGCTGCGGTCCCGGGGTCGTTTTTGATGCCACGTGAAAATATTTTTCAATCCGGATCTCGCAGCTGGTAAATAACATATATTTACTTTTCTCTTGTCTCTCGTTTCAAGTAGTTTAAAGTGAAGATGCTGTTGCATGAAGATTGACGTGTCATAGTCACCGCAAAACTTATGTTTGGGACATATAAATCTGGGTTCGTGACAATCTTTTTTGTCTTGAAAGGTTCCTATTGTATTTACAAGAGTAAAAACGCACCATGTCCAGAAAATATGAATTCAGGCTGGGTGCTTTGGGATGATGAAAATATCAATAATCACAACAGGAAAGGAGGATGGTTACCTGATGGTGAATATAATCATGATACCAAAATTCATTACTGTTGTCAAACTAATGGTAATTGGTATGACCCAATTGAACTACCAGTCAGTCAACCATTTTATCTCATGCCAACCAATTTTAAGTATGATCGATGTCAGATAGTCAAATGGGCGGTTAATTACTTGGAGGAGATTTGGTTCGATACAGAAAATGACGACAATAACGATAGACATTGGGGGAGTCATGTTCCAGTAACAAGCTCGACTACATTCGGTGTCCAGTACTGTTATTATGAAAGTATGTCAGTTTTTTTCTTTCAAATTGATTCAATTAATAAATTCTAATCAGTTCTGTCCGACGGATTTCTTTTGTGTTTACAATAGCTTACAATAGAAATCCGTCGTGCAGAATTGAGTATATGAATAAACGCGCCCCCACCCCAATAATCGCCCTATCGTTACGTCCCTGGAAACAGGGTCAAACATCAACTGGCAATCTGGGTCACAGCTATAACAAATTTCCCACTGTGCCTCTCCCTGGCTGATGTTAATTTAAAATTATAACTATCAGTTGTCGTTCCAATCTCGGACAACACTTAAGTCCATTTCCCATTTTTCCTACCATAGAAATATATTATTGTTTTGACGTAGTGAAGTTTGCCGTTGCAGTTATATGCATGCATGTAACGTCTAGAAGTCCATCTTGAAGTAACTTTAGGTTTTCAAGATCTGGATCTTCCGTGGTCACGATTTTGCAAGTTTGGTCGTAGATCTTGCGAAATCCTGACCACACCGACAGCCCATACCTGATAGTTCGTTTCTTTTTTAGATTGCCGACGTACAATGGTTGAACCTAACGGTTCATTTACATCGCATAATTCAGAATTAAACTCGCAATTTTGTTCCTGGTCGATTACTGTTGCTAAAAATTGTAATGTCCTTTTGAGCATTCAGCAACTTTTGACATCAAGCTGTAATGACACATTTCTGAGAATATACGATGGTTCAAATGACAAAGCGCCTGTTCTTGCCACATATTGTGGTTCAAATGGGAACAGCAATATCGAGATTTTATCATCTACCAATAGTTTATACATCCTGTCAAATTCTGGAACATATACAGGGAATCCTAAAAGACTTTTTGTGTTGGATGCTAAGTATACTTCCATTTGTCGAACAGGTTTGTTTCAGTGCAAATGTATAGTGTTCCTATATTGTATAAGCTCAGATTGCATTTCTCATGCCTTCTCATGT